GTTGTTTTGTTTGTGTTGGTGGGGGGGGGGGGGGGTTGCTCTAGGAAGGGAACACTACATTAAGACTGGCAAGACCATTAAATATTATAGAATCATAAAAAGTTAGGGTTGAAAGAGACCTCAGGAAGTCATCTAGTCCAACACCCTGCTCAAAACAGGACCATCCCTGACTAGATCTTTCTAGCCAAGGCTTTGTTGAGCTGGGCCTTAAAAAGCTCCAAGGATGGAGATCCCACCACCTCTCTGGGTAACCTGTTCCAGTGCTTTAATGCTCACCTAGTGAGAAAGTTTTTCCCAATACCCAACATATGAATATTGGTATTCATATCCAATATATTATTCATTTCCAATATATGAATATTATTATTCATATAGCCAGGAAAAGCGACAACTGAACAACAGTAACTAATAAAACAAACAATGTGGGAGCTTGACCAAAAATGCTAGGTGCCCTACATGTGTATCTATGGGACTCCCAGCAGCATACCTCAAACTGTGTAATAGACTGTGTGAATCAGCTTTCTATGAAGTGCACCTGGTTCCAAACAATTACTTGAGTGACCAGGATTGCTAGAAATTGGCTTTAAGACATGAGACCAGAGAAAAATTCTCTGATCCTTTATGGGCCACTGCTGGCAACGGATCAGCATTCACATCATGCCAACTGTCTGTACCTGGTCCACACCAGGGAAATTAATGTTCCTTCTAGCAAAATGAATTGTGCAAACTTTTTGAGGAATCCCAGTGTCACTGACACCAACTACCCAGACATCGTGCAGTCCATCAGCTTTCATGCCATTGGGCCTGCACTCAGACTCTTACAACTTAATGAGAATCTGTGGCTGCCAAGCGAAGAATCTGTGGCTGCCAAGCAAAGCTGCCATGCCATCAGTGGGCCTTGCTGAATAGGTTCCAGACAGGGCAAGATCTGTGCATGGCCAACTGCCACCCTTGGGGTCTTCAAGACAACCCAGACCATAGCTGTGGCAAAACACACACCATGTCGCATATTGTCAATGATTACCCGCTGACTAAGTTCAATGGTGGACTACAGGAACTGCACATGGCCACTGAGAACACTATCACGTGGCTTGGTCATTATGCACACACTGGCTGACTATGGACCACTGAATGCATCCAAGGTTTCTAGAACTTTGGGTCTATGAGCTGGATCCATGGGTTTCTGGTCCTCTAACCTGTAATGAGCATAGGCAGTATAAATGCTTCTCACAATCTACATTTCACACTTGCATTCGGTTTCCCCAGACAAGTCGGAAAGCAATGATGCTACATATTAGTATGCACAGGTGAGCTGATGCAGACTTTGGCCCTGTTCAAGTATACTTTTTACTTTCATTAGGGAACTTGCCTATTGCCAGAAATCAGTGCAGATGAATCATTTATTAAAACAGATTAACTGTGTGAAAAATAGCAGTACACCCACATTCAGCACTTGCTCATCTGCACCCATGACAACATGCAATAAGAGAAATTCAGCAATAAGCAGTTTTATGTGTATGGATAGAACTATGTTACCTGGCAGAAGGATGAGGGCAGGCCTGGAGACAGACTCTTCATTGATTCTTGTCAGCAAGAGCCCAGTGGCAGGGCCAGCCTGACGCTTAGGCAGAGGAGACAAGCTCTGACTTAGGTTAGACTGCCGCCCCACATAGAGTGGGGGGAGGAGTTAGCAGGGTGCCGCAATTCTCCAGGGAACGTTGGTGGAATGTGACCTACTGTGAGTCACAATGGGATGTGATACAGATGTTCAGTATGGCGCTATAACCTTCAGCGCTGAACTCTGATACCACATCCATCCAGGGTTATCTTAGAGTAGAATCTGCCATGTTTACCACGCTCTATGCACACTGACCATCTATTCGGTTATGACTGTAAAGCCTACCGTGCAATAAGTGCAACTTCTGTACCTGGCCTCCATTTCTCTGTATTTGGTCCTATATTAAGAGAATGTGAAACAGTTTCAGATATGTACGCCTTAATTCTAATTTGCAACCTTAACTCTGCCCACTCATTAACATGCATTATGAACTAAATGAACTATTATCTTTAATAACGCAGTCCTATTATTTCTCAAAACATTTATCAAGTCTTAAGATACACACAGCCCTTTGAAATATATTTGTGTTATTCTTGTAAATACACCAGGTTTATCATCATAACCAAGGACAGGTGACACCTAAAGTTCATTATTGCAGTGGCAGGCTTTTGTTACTTATTTCTTCATTTTTAAAGAATTATCAAACATCTAAAAATAGCATGCTCTATGTCCACGGAAAATATAACCAAAAAAGTTTATAAACAGTTTTTTAGAGAAACAGCATTAGATTTCCATTAACTGTGGATTAAGACGCAGAGTTTCATCCACTTCATGGGAGAATTTACCAGATGCAGAACGTACTTACACAGAGCAAAGGAACACAGCTCAGTCTTACAAAGCATGAGTCAACACAGTCCTGTGAGCTGTAATTGTATTTTGATGGTGCAACCTCAAATGAGCAATGTTACTTGCGTGCTAGGTTTTGCAGGATTGTCCCAAGGAGGGGTATTCCTAAATTCACAGGTTAAACTGAAGTGAACCATTTGGCCTTGATCATATAAGCCAAAGTTCTCCAATGCAGGAGGAAACAACACTAATTGCCCTGCAGGGGGAATACAACTGAGTAACATTTTTTTCCCTTTGAAATGCACTCCCCCTGTAGGAAAGGTGAATTTTCAAATTAACAACATTTTATACACTATAATTCATATACATTCATTAAAAAGAAAAGGTACATCAATCATGTAACATTTGTGTCCATTAAATTACAAATGTAATACTTTCGTAAGTAAAACTGTCTTCCCTCTTTTTTTTGGTTTGCAATAGCTCTGGGTTTTTTCGTCAAGATTGCTTACAATTTGATGTAAATTTTAAGCATCCTGTAATTCATCAACTAATTCTCTCCTGGTTACACACTCGAAGTAATTAAAGTTCAGTAATAACTTATTCTTTCTGCTCCAGCACCTGCATTTCATTTGTTTATTTTCCCAGAGTCATAAATCTGAGGGACTGTCAAAGTGCCATAATATTAGTGCAATAATCAAAGTTAATTAGTCCCTCTCAATAAACAACAACAAAGCCATTACAAAGATGCATTGAAGGTTCTCCAGCTACCCAGCTTACAGATGAGATTGTATTTTGAACAATTAGAATTTGAGAACTGTTAGTAAATAAAGGTAGTGTTTTTTTAAGTAATTTGAATCAAGACAGTGATCTGCATTCAATTACCAATTCATTAACTTTTGGCGAGGTAATATACGTACTAACACAAGTACTCTTGTACTCCCGTTGTCTGCGCAAAGAACTAAATACAACTGTTGCTTTTCCTGACTTTGATCCCTTCTGGAAAATTCCTTTTAAAAATAAGTGGGCAAAGTTTCATATTTACCATATTTCACCCTTATAGTTTACTTACATTTTTTCTAACTTTCTATAAGTAAATATATTAGTTCAGAAGAGGAAATACTCCAAAACCTAGCTATGTTGGAAAATATTTTATGAGCAAATACAGTAACACAAGTACAATCTCTCCTTACATAGTCCACTGGTGTTACCGAACCAAAGAAAATAGACAGTTTGAGCTTCTATTACGAAAACAAAAGAAAAAAATAAATCCAAAAGAAGTATTTTAAAACTCAACTGCCCAAGAGGAAGAAGGCATTAATCCAAACACCTTCTTCAAGAAAGCAAGCGCCAGTAGTAGTTTCAGATATTTGTACATAGTACTCCCCATCATAAAATGCTGCTGAATGCTATCCCATAACATCTGGGAGCACCTTAAACTGCTTTATCTCCCAAACACTGGGAGCAAACACATCATACCGCCCTCAGCACTGCAACGTTAGCAGAACAGAGACAAGAAACCAAGGGCTGGGTTCTGTCACTCAGTCAAACAAAATGTTCCCTGAAGTGCATTCAGACTAGTGTAAAGGGTGCAACAATCAGGTCCGCAGACAGAAGGCTGCCAGCTACAATCTCCAGAGTTATAGCAGTTATGGGCAAAATGGGGACAAAAAGTTACCCGCTAGGCCTACTGGAGAGCAAATGATTGTAGGGAGAATGAGTTAGGAATGCTGGAAAGCAAAGGTCTTGTGGGAGATCAGCAACAGAGGGCTGGGACTGCAGCAAAAGGATCACTGATGGAAAAGGTGATGAGAAATGTGGGAAGGGAGCAGATAATAATGTATGTGCAGAATGATACAAGGGGGAGAGAGGACAAAGAAGAATGAAAGGAAAAGGCAGCAAGTTGGGAGAGATGGACCAAAAATACAAACACAAATGCTTATCGAAGAACCAGACAAGAATGACTCTGTTAAAAGGATCTTAACTTTTAGCACAGAACAACTTGTAATTTTCCGAGCAGGAGCCACCTATATAAGTCCAGGTGCAATTATATATGCATTTGAGGTCCTTAAGAAATTCTCTTTTACGTGACCAACAGACTGGACTTAATTGAGTCTCACTAACTTTTTACCATGTAAATACCTCAAAAGTCCCTACAATTTGGTTGCACAGGTTAGAAAAACAGTAACTCTCTATTATTCTGTACATATTAACAAAGTTCCAGCGTCAAAGTGAAAACTAAAGGAGAAAAGGCTGTTTTCTTAGATTCAGATAAATATCAAAACTGTCATCACTGCACAAGACTTCATATTACTTCATAATTCAGATAGAAATTACTTAGTATTGAAAAATATGCATGCTTTCTTACCCATTCAGCTAGGATGTGCTGTACAGCATCACTGGCTCTTGACATATTTCTGCAGGCAAGGATAACATATGCCCCATGAAGTGCAAAGGACTTTGCAGTTTCAAATCCTGGATAAATAAAATACATTTAAAGTCAGAGAGATGGATCTTAACAATGCCCCAGAGTAATGCATTCGTATCTGAGATGTGGGAGCCCAGAACTTCTGAATCATAACCTATCTTTAGTATGGTTCCCCTCTGTGCTAGACACACGAGTCCACGGGATTTTACAGAAGTGGGCCTTAACCTCACTAATTTTCTTCACCCATAATTCTGCTCAGAATGCTTCTTACCCAAGAGCACTGCTTTGAAGATATAGCAGTTAAGGCACAGGCATGTCTGTATTGATTTAAATGAGAGTTTCCCTTGGCCTTCAATGGGGCCAGAATTTTGCCCTTAAAGGGCGCATCCAGACGAGCACACACGTCTCAAACCCCTGTGAGATGGGTCAAGGGGCATGTATGGGAATGAAAAAATGTTCCCATGCTGCAAGTTTGCAGGACGGGGACAAAATTAGGCCCCTGGATATAGGGGTCAAAAAAAACCGGTCTGGAGAAGTGGAGCAAGGCACAGTCCTGGAGCCTGCACAGGTGGCAGTCCTCCAGAAGAGATGCTCTGGTTTCAGTCAGAGTGTCTCTTCGGTGCTCCTGCTGCCCCCAGCACTGTCCAAGGTGAGATAGGGAAAGGAGGGGTGGGATTTATGGGTGTGGGTGGATGTGAGTGTGTGTGAGGGGTGGCAGGGGGACGCTGGGAGTGGTGGGAGGGATGTCCCCGAGGCTGCGGGGAGTGACTGGCCGGAGCAGCCGTAGTGAAGCTGGCGGCACACAGAGGGACCCGGCCCAGACCAGTGCAGCTCACTAGTCTGGCTTTGCACCAGAGCGGGTCACACGGCTCCAGGAGACGCGCACAGGAGCTGCGCTTCCCGGAGCCATGTGACCCACTCCAGTGCAAAGCCGGACTAGCGAGCTGCACGGGGTTGGGCCAGGTCCCGCTGCACGCCACCTCCCCACAGGCAGAGGTGGGATTCGGTGTTGTGCGCTGACCCCAGCCAGGTCCTGCTGCCATGGGACTGGCCTGGCTGGGCAGCCAAACAGCCCCAGAGCCAGCAGGACCTGGCTGGGCTTGGCACATGGTCCCCGCACACCGCACCGGGTCCTGCCACCATGGGACTGGCCCAGTTGGGCGGCAGAGCAGCCCCAGGGCCAGCAGGACCCAGCTGGACTTGGCACACAGCCCCCGAGAGCTGGGAGCAATAGGCTCAGAGCACCGCCACTCCCGCTGATGCTGCAGAAGGTGCAGGACCATGGTGGCAGGACCCGGTGTGGTGTGCGGGGACCATGTCCAAGACCCAGTTATATATAACTGGGTCTTGGACAGACCTAATTTAATTGAAATGGGCTAATGGTACTTTGTACTACCTAAGACCTGCTCCTATACATGCACAATACCTTATTGAAATGGCAAGACTTGAGACGATAATGCTTCTACCTTGGGAAGCTAGTATGTGTTTGCAGTTCATTCACTAATGTCATTGGGAGCTGTCTTCTGTGGAGCACAATGAAAGAGAAATTTCCATCTAGCTGAAAGAGGCAACACACCATAAAAGGGCTTAATGAGTTCTAATCAGAAAAAGCTTAAACTAATACATGAAGGATATGAAGTGCTCAAAAATTTAAGTAAGTATGTACATATTAGATAGTCACAGAAAAGACGGTATTTGTTCCACCTTTATGTTGTTTAAAGAATGTTCACACTTCCCTTTTAAAATCTGTTTACCAAGAAAAACCTATTAAGATAGGCATTTTCACTTGCAAAAATGCCTTGGGGCAAAATAAATTTGGTTATAACAGAGTACAACACAGATTATAGAAACAACATCAGAAAAATGTATATAATTCTCTGTAATTACATACAGTATTTAAGACTGAACAATTTTCTTGCATCTCTTTTAAAACCATTCATTATACCAGGCAACTTTAATTGCTTGGGTAATTCATTGCACGTATATGGATCCAGCTTCATCACATGCACAAGTTATTTCCCCTGTTCCTAATTCCATTTTGAGCATGCTTAGCAAAGAAATCTTTAAATGTAACCAATAGAGGACATGTTGCATTGTGACACTTTGTTATCTATATGTTTGTTAATTTACAAGAGTAGTGCTAATTTTTACTAGCTCTATATATTGGTAAAAACTGGTCAGGACCCTTGAGATTAGCCCTCTTCTGTATTGTAATACAAACAGTGTGGAGCTGATGGGCAGCTTAATTAGCTACATGTAGTAATGCTTAGCTATGTCTACCTTGTGCTGTACTTTGTGCAGAATAATAAATGCCATGCCTTTCTCAATCTGAGTTAATAACTTGATTCTTATTATAAAAATATAAACTTTCTGACAAAGTTTAAAATTGAGCTTCTAAATTACATGCCTCAAATTTAGTTCATTTGACACCACTGCTTACCCATAACATACACACACCTGACAACTAAATCTAAACCTTCTTAACCAGGATGAATAGGGGAAAAAAAGTAAAAGATGAAGATAAGCATTTCATCCATAAGTCAGTAAATCAGCCGTAAAATCTACTTCTGAAGAGTGGAAGTATAAGGAATTCACCTCAGGTATTTGCAAGTGAATTTAACTTCTTACTCGTCCCAGAGAACTCCAGCATGATGTAGGGAAGCCACTTGGGTTCCCCATTCATGCCTCACAGCAGTGCCATGGGGAGAAGCTGATTAAAGATTGTGACTGCAAGACTACAAGAGTAGGATGAAAGAGGAGTAGATAGACAAGGGAGGAAGGAGAGGAAGGAAAAGGTGACCAAAGAGAGACCTTTGATATCACAATCACCACTACGGGACATTGACAAAAAAAGGACATACCAAATTATGGGAAGATTTTAAAACCCAGCTAGACAAAACCTTGTGCTGGGATGATCTAGTTGGGGATGGTCCTGCTTTAAGTAGGGGGTTGGACTAGATCAGCGTTTCTCAACCTGTGGGTCGCAACCCAAAAGTGGGTAGCAAGACTATATGAAAGGGTTGTGAACAAACTTTAAAAATGGATCAACAGACTTTAAAAATGGATTCTCCTTTAAAGGAGAAAAACATAGGAAACCATGGCTTTTCCCCTGCAACGTGTCAGAGTTCCAGCTTACAAGGGGCTGCTTGGGCATACCCCCCTGCCCCACACACTGGGGTCAGAAGGCAGCAGGTCAGGACTAGCTATTGATTTTTACAAATGGGACCTGGTCCAAAAAAGGTGGAGAACCACTGGACTAGATGACCTCTTGAGGTCCCGTCCAACCCTACTTTCCTAAGATTCTATGATTCAATGATTATTTCAGGACTTACAAAAAAGCACTGCTTTCTCAGAAAGCTGGTAGGACAAACTCTCAAGTCCAATACCATCACACGTAGGAGACAGAAGAGAAGTCAAGAACTTGAGAGAGACCAGCATAAACCAGGCAACATGATGGTTTATGGAATTCAGCATTAAATTAAGTGCAAATCAATGTACAGGGAGGAATATTTTTTTTAAACTTGTATACCTTCCAGGGTTCTAAAGCAAATTTGTTAACAAAAAAAAGACCCATGTATCACTGTAGACAGCTCAATGAGCAGATGAGGCCAAATCAAAGCACTTTATAAAATTCTCAGATTAATCATCTGGCTTCAACAGGAATACTATGTGCACTACTGACTGCACACTTCATCTCAAAAAGTATATCATAACCATCATACTGTGGGTTACGATCCTGAGTTAGGCACTAAGGATCCCTATATAACACATGGGAAGAGTTAGGCCACTAAGGAAGAGATTTGCAAGAGCCAAAGCACTGAGCACCTAAGCTAATTGATAGGAAACAACAAAGGTGGGGGAAGGGGTGCATCTTAGACCATGCCATTCTCTGGTACCTGAGCACATTACCCTGTAGAAAGATGCCAGCTCTTCTTGGAACCGATAACCTTGAAGTACATGAATTTACACACCTAAGCTCTGTCTTTTATAAAACAAAGCAACTATCATTCTCTCTCTTCAAAATGCAACCAAAGGTGGACGTGGGGGTGACCGCTCATACAGACTTTTATCCAACAGCTCACCCATTAGAGAATTAAACAAGGATGTGATGACCTGAGTTCAAACAAGTGAGAGAATTTAACTCAGGTTTCCCACATCCTGAGCGAGTGCTCACCCACAGGGACACTGGATAAAAAGGCAGGGCCACCCCCTTCACTTCCTGTTGCCAGACCAGGTGCGGAGACAAGGAAGGGCAAATACCACCTAGTATGCAGATCCTGACCTGGCTTATGTATGGCGAGGTGCTTGTCGACAAGACTATAAGACCTCAAGGCACCTGGGGAATTTGCTGACAAGACTTAAGACTCCTAGGGATTGGAAATACATTTTAAAAAACTGAACAGTCATCAGTGACGGCACTGACAACATATTGCAAAAAAAACCTAACCCATTATTTTAAAAATACATTTATGCAATGCTGAAGCTAAAAGTATACCAGTAAATTAACTGTAACCCATAAAACCATTGCAAGTTACCCCCAAATCAAGCATTATAAACCAGGAAAATTCAGACTGAAAGCAGACAACCTAAAAGATTTTTTTTTCAATAAATACAGTGAGCTAAAGTCTTTAGAGTGGCAAGTTCACTTTCTGCTATACTGCCAGGGTAATATGGCTTTGAAACCGGTTTAACAAATGCAGGACAAATACCAAGTGAAAGGGTAAACCACAGGTGGCCCAGCTGTTACACTATATACTTTCCCCCAATATTGATATAGTTGGTTAAAAAGGACATGGCAGGAGGTGGTGAAGCATGCTAGCTAGCATGAGGTATATCAATCTTTAGTACGCTTTCAACTACCCATAAACTCAGCAACTCGGCGCTTTAAAAATACTGCAAAACTAGCAGCAGTCCCCTATGGGGAAAAAAAAGGTGGGGGGGGGGAACGGGACGACAACCTACTACTAGTAGAGATTTTGCTTTTTTAAAGAACAGAATAAACCATGTGCAAAAATAATATTTACAGTATAGTTCAACATACTTGACA